TTAAACATGTGCGAATGAAACAAAACACAACTCTAGATAGGTTTTTAATGAGTAAACAACATTATAACATAGATTAGAAACTGCATAATATTCACTTATTATAATATTGACATATGGGGAATAATTATAAAACAAACATCAATTCCAATTTCTTACTGCAAAAGAAAGCTATTAGAATCATAAATAATGCTGATTACTATGCCCCAACAAATGCTCTCTTTATTAAACTAAATACATTCAAATGACATGATCTCGTTGATCTAAATACTTTAGTTGTCATGTTTAAGGCACATAATAATCAGCTCCCTCAGAGTTTCCAAGAGATGTTCAAACCCAGACAGAGTGAGTACAGTCTGAGAGCATCAGGCCTCTTGTGAGGATCAGCCTGAAAAGTCGATGTGTCTCCATCAGGCGTGTTAATATGTGGAATAGTCTCGATGAAACTTTAAAAGGCTCTAAAACAATTGACACATTTAAAAAAAAAAAAAAAAAGACTAAAATTATAGAGCAATATAGAGAAATACAATAAATCATATTTTACCCCATCAAACGTACAGATTAACTGTAACCCCCAATTATACTTATATGTTTAAGTGTGTATTATAAACCAATAGGTATAAATATTAGGGTCCAGTCAAGTGGTAACGGAGGGAAACGGGCAGATTTTTTACATTCAAATAGCTCTTATTCAGAAACTAGAGGGACTATTGAAATAAGTAAAGTATCAGAATGTAGGAAAGAGTTACACTCCAACAGGGTCAAGTTAAACCTGTGATATTCTTTCAAGCTGTTGACAAAAAATTTAAAAACTCATGTCGGTAACGGAGGGAATGAAATATGCAGCACTTTTTGGGCAATAAATCCAAACAGTGATAACTCTTGGTTCTCACTTACATATCCTTAACAAACTGGTTTGAATATTTGCTTCATATAGTTTTCTACCATATGGTACAAGATTAGGTTGAAAAACCTCTTACTTTTTGAGTAATGAGATTTTTTATTAAGAAAGGTCATGGTAACGGAGGGAAAAGTAACGGAGGGAAAATTGTGCAAACAAGTAGAAGGTGCATGATTTAGCATAATTTGTCAACTTTTTTCTTCCGAATACTTTAATATTACTTCAAAATGAAAGGAAACTATTTCTATAAAATATGTCCGTCCTTCCAAGCTAATTTTTATCATTTTAAATACATTTAAAAAGAAAAAATCATGTACCTTCATCAACAGTTCAAAGATGGAATAACACAAGATATGATGAAGTACATCAGTTTATTTACATGATTTGCAGGTCTTTGAAATTTGGGAAATAATTTTTGTTCCATGTTTCATACATGGTCTGTTTAAAACGTATGTAACTTTAGAACCAAAAATGGTACAGAAAAAAGGTCAACAGTTTCATAAACTAGAGTACATATGTATCTGTTGAATACATTTTATATCAGATGCATTTACTTCTGCTTGACCAGGCCCATTAACATGTACAGGGTCTGTGTGTGTGTGTGTGTGTGTGTGTGTGTGTGTGTGTGTGCGTGTGCGTGTGTATGAACATCAACGTATATTGGATTGTGTTCTGTACTGTGTATGTGTATACTAAAAGATTTAGGGACATTTCCTTTCCTGCTCTCATAAAAGTGGAGTTTTGTGTTGTTTTCTGTAAATAGTTCTGTCATCTTGTATCCTGTTCTATATGTTAATAGGGTTTGACAAAACAAGTGTTAAACTTCAGCCTAAACCCCTTGGGTCTATAGAATAAGCTTATCGGTATGCATTAACTGCATAATTTGTTTTTTGTGTTAAATCATTGTCATATAATGTATGATTATGCTAACTGACCGAAGAAAATAAACTACTACTACTACTACTACTACTACTACTACTACTACTTTAACTAAATGGTGTATGAACTTATGGACACAATTTTGCCCTAAAATCAAGACTTAAAGTAGTATGTCAAAATTACATCCTGTTTCATTCTCGTTGTTCTAATCTTGTCTTCATCTTATTTTATGGGAATTGCATCTTGTCCCAGCCCCAGTACCCTTTTATTTGTCAAACTGTCAAAGCATCTGGACTACATTACCATAAGGTGTGACAGCGTCAAGTCTTAAGAGTGAAACAAAATGCTGACTTGAATGAGACCTTTGCGTATATCCGCACAGATCACAATAACTGACTGTTTATTGGACAGGTCCAGCTTTCCTTCAGGTTGGGCTTCTCTTGAACTCCTCTGAGTAATAGAGGTGGGGAAGTAGTTCAGTCAAATATTGTTCCTTGGGACATTTTGCCATGCTCTCCCACCATAATCCCCGTTGGCATTGTTAGCTACAACATGTCAACGACGGCTACCTCTCACATTATTGTTCCCTGCTAGCTCTCCAAATATTACAACATGTCAAGCAAACTCCAGCAAACTTTAGCCTCTCGTAACATGGATACTGTCACCGCTTTGGCTAGTCAAATGGAGATATGACTCATTCACAATGCTAGCAGCTAATGAATTTCCTTGGCGTAACGCAAGATATACATTGAATTAAAGCTTTCCCAGACTCGAAGCTCGGGGTTGCATGTGAGAAGCTGTGACTTTGCATCTATCATGGGCAGAAAATTTGC